GAAAATATTTTAACTTATTAACAATAATTATGCGTATAAATGTGTTCCTATTGCACAAATTTATTTCGCTTTATATGTTATCCTTTCGGTGAGAAAAAATTAATTTGTAAATGTCAGAATAAAAATTCATTTTTTATGAAATTTAAATTGAAAAACGTAGTTGATATATTGAAATATACCTATTTTTCAATTGTCTTATAGAATATAAAATACGAAATAGTTATCGAAAAAATTGTGTTCTTGTGAATTAAAAACTAATGTCAATTGATATTACAGGAATCCGTCGTAATCAAAACACTCGTAAAGAACATGTATCAGAAGAAGTTAAAGCTATCCTGAAAGCTAATTTAACAACGGAATATGATTTGTACCACTTTGTACAGCATCGACTGCATCAACAACTGCGAGTTATTTTGACGAAAAAAAGAAGTACCGTCACTGGAACGCAGCAAGGTTAGGACGAGATGGTGACTTCTATAAGATTTATTTACAGGGATTCACCATTTCATGCACGATTTATTTTTATAATTTTCTCTGAAGGTTAAGCCTTCGATAAAAAAAAATTGTTAGATCACTGACTTAACTCCTGTAACTTGTAATTATGTAAGTTAAAGAATATGATCGTTTCGTGAATACATTACATGTCTTGCAGCTTCCGTACCTTATCTACCCAGAATTATAATTTTAAAGTTTAAATTAAAGAATAATTTAAGTAAGTAAAAACTAGTTTATACTTATTTTAAAAAAACCAAAATATGCTACTTCATTTTATCACATTATTCTTCACTACTACATATTGATGTTTTGGGAATGTTAGAATTTAAAATTAAATGTACTAATGGAAATTTATAGTTAATCTTTCAGATTTCATTATTTACTATGTTTATACTTGCAGGTGCTTCTGAAGAAACCAATATGTAATGAGGCCTAATAGTAATACCTTTCAGTTGAAATTGATCTTTAATACTCTTAATTTTTTTGGGGTAACATTCAATAATATATTTATATATTGTATGTATAAGCCAAACACTGTTTTTATAAAAAGTTTTTTGATATTCTTATAAATTCCAGTTTATGAAATATTTCCAAAAAATCCATTTTGAATAACTTTTCCAAGTCTTCCCATACATGTACCACTTGGAAAATTCATAAAACATGATACACTCAGCAAATGAAATATGTTAGTATATTTCTGAATGGACAGAAAGGTAATACTTCAATATTCTGTCATCTTCTGTCACAACTTAATTCTTCACTGTGATGTATCTCCACTCTTGAAAAAGTTTGATAGCAAGCCATTCATGTACAAAAAGACATAACAAACAGTCTTGTATTTCAAGTTTTATGTCATTTTTACTTTACAGATATGTCAGTTTGTATTTAGAGCTGAATTTATATTTGTGAGGTTTTAATGTTAAGACTAACACTTAGTCCTATGCTTCAGTCATGTCTTATATTGGTATAATAAGATTTTCCTTTTGCAATGAAATCATCATGAGCTCTTAATTTTGATGTGGTGACTCTTGTTCCTGTATTACCTGTGCTTGTAGAGTCTGCTCTTGTTGCTTAAACAAAGCCTATTCTCTTTTTACATTTTTTATCTAGTGGATTTGGAGCTGCTTTGCTATTCTTGCTCTTGTATTTAGTTGGGCCCAATTTTTCTGTAACTGAAATTATCCTTCTCTTAACAACATTGTTGAGTAAACAGTACTTCAAGGATTCTTTGCTGGGTGAAACTAAATTTTTATCTCTGACCCTTTCCTATGCCATCTTGAAAAGTTGGTTATACTTTCTTCTGGAGAGGTTTTTGTAGTGGTTAGCTGTTGGGCTCTTTTTCTGGCATGGAATGATTCTTATTTCTAAGCTTTCATACCATTTTGTGCTCACATTTGCTTTGTCTTTGATAACTCGTGTTAATTTTAGATAGTGATGTTCATATTATTTGTCCTCAGAAGTACTTTTTATATCCTCAAGTCATCTTTTGAAGACTGCACCTCAGTATTTTCTTTTTTTAGTGATTCAAATGTATTTCTGAGTCATACAGAATTTCTTAAAACTTACTTCTTGGAGAATTGTGTGTGTAATTTTCTCCTTAACTGTTCCTGCTTGAGTTCCCTCAATAGATAGAAGATTAGGAACATTGTGAATTTTGATTTGTTTAGATTGAATTCAATGTATGGTTATTTCCAATTTGAAAATGTACATTCTGGAAAACCTAAACATTTTCAGTTAATATGCAGTGTTGGAAAAGTCATGGAAAATGGAGAAAAATATGAAATGTTTTGGAAAAATTAGAGAAAACTGGAACTTTATGATGTGCATTACATAAGTTAATAACAGTTCATCATTTTGTTGATCAAACATAATTAAGATATGGTTAATTAAATAAAATTTTGAAAAACTGAAAAGGTGTGAGGATGGGATAGATTATGAGAGGTTATGCAAGGCTATAAAGTGTAATAAAAATATTTGAAATATCTTGGTGAATTATTTTTAATCAAGGGTGGTAACCTTGAACTCTTTTGGTTTTGATTATACACCTAGGAGATTTCTACATGGATTATTTGTTGGTTTTTGCTGTGTCAAAGTTAGATGAACAATGTACTATTGAAGCTGTTATGCACATGAAAAGGGTTATCAAAGTTGTCGTGTCCCATTTCCAGCTTTCCAATTTTCTTCTTTTTTTTTAGCATCTTTCTAGGTTGTACAAAAAATTTGTCAAACATTTGTTCCCATTTTTGGGGGGTTGTTGAATGTCTTATTCTTGTGAAACAGTGGCATTTTAGAGAATCCCAGTGAAATATGTTTCTTAACAATTTAGAATGACTTGAGTTTTTTCAAGTCTTACCCCACTGATGGTGCAATAAAACAAATATTACCATAAGGATGCTGCTATGTACGGTTCCAGTGGATCTTTTCACAACTGCTTGATAGACCATTTTGTAAAACTATATTCATATATTTGATAAACCACAGATGGTCTACAATAAAATCTCTGTTTTGCTTAGTGCACAAATGAAAATTAAAATTGAATGTTAACACAATGTAAGTATGATCCATTTTCTTTGAAATTCCTTAGATAGGTGTAATGGTCATGTAACCAAATTCATTGATATGGTAGTTGGAGATGATAAAAAAAAATACAGACATTCTATAACTTAAATGTATATCAGAGGAGGTCATGTGGAACTACTTGTCACGTGCTTTGTCAATATTGTGAAGTAATTACAGTAGTTGTTGAACAAATCATTTCTAAACATCTTTTTTTTCTTGTGGTGATTATTTCAATTCCTTCTGTGAAGGATGCATTTCTTATTATTCTCATGTAAGAGAATTTTTTTAACTACTATGAAAAGTTTGAATGCATTTAAAGCTGTTCTTGGTAAATGGGATAACTGAAAAATACATTTTCAGAGAGAGTGATTGATTGTGTTACTTTGAGCAGATCGTTATTTGTGAAATAATGAGTTGGATAAACATTTACTACAACTTTGACTAAACAGCTAATGGAATGAGTTTATTAAAGCTGGTGTTAAATAATTTATAAAGAGTTTTACTTTTACAATTCCATTATCTATGACAATAATTTTTTCTGTTTTAATGTGATTTTATCTCCTAATGTTCAAATATATATGATGTATCAATCTTAAATTTCATCTTAATTCTTTTGCAGTGCCTTTGGTAAACAATATCAGAATTACAATCATTTTTATAAAATGTTTTTACTTTTATTATCAGGATAGGAAATTAAATTAATGATAATTTCTTATTTGTAACATCAATTAAATTGATTCCATGCATGTTCTATACCAAGAAAACACCTAAAAACAAACAATTATGAGAATGAAAATGTTTCAATGTTATAAGTTTCATTAATTTTAAAGTTGAGAGGAAAAGTTTTGTTTAAATGAAACAGAAACTATTTTTCTAGAAGTTTATGTAAATCTATTAAATTCCTTTTCAAATGAGTACTTTGTTTTTAAGTTAAAATGATAAATTGTATTTCATGCTTTGTTCCAAATAATTTCAATGCCAAACTAAAAGGATAAATATGTTAGGTAATCTGGAATTATGACAGCAATGAAATTTTAAATTGAAACACTGCAAGATTTGGCATACCTAGGTAAAATACCATAACTGGCTATATAGATATTTGATTCTTAAAAAGTTGATTCAGATGAAAAGAAACAATTTTAAGATGAAGCAACTATAATTGTTCATATTCTTTCAGTAATAAATACACTCCGAATTCAGCAAAGAATTACTGCTGTAAAACTTTTTTTTTGTTACTTAACTGGATTTATTTTTCTGCTCTATGCCTTATGTTTAGAGTATTTACACAAGAATTCAGTTAAAAGCTACATCTTGCTTTATCGTATAATATAGATGACAATGGAAGGAGAAAGAAGATTGTTATACCAGTTTTAGTTTTTTAGTTTGCCTAGTAATGGGTACAAAACTCCATATTTACATTTCCTACTATAAAATGTTCAGAAGAATTGTCAATTGTTTGTACTGCTGGTTAGATAAATAAATAAATGTATATCCTTTGGAAACTGATATCCTTAGAGAAAGTGTAATATATTCTGAATTCCTTTCAGATATGTGATTCAAGTGTGAAAAGTGACCTGAAAAGCTAAAATAAACTTCACGTCCAGAAAGAAATAATGCAATCACATTGTGTTACATTCTCTTTGTGCATCATTATAAGAAAGTTTGCTTTATAAGTCACTCAGAAATCATTTAAAGACAAATAATCTTCACAGTTATTCATTGTTATAAACAATTATTAATTGTCATAACAGATTTAAAATGCACATTGAAATCACTAAGGTACGCATAAAGTACAAGTTTATAATGCTCAAACAGTCGAGGATTGTACAAACATGTAAACATAAGTATTGAGTGTTGACTGAGAAAACTTTAAACACACACACACACACATTGCTCATGGAAATTACAATTAAGTACAGATAATTACATTACTGAGAATTATACAAACATGTAAACATAAGTATTGAGTGTTGACTGAGAAAACTTTAAACACACACATTGCTTATGAGATTTACAATTAAGTACAGATAATTATATTACTGAGAATATGATTCAATTCACTGAATTTCAGTTCTCGTCTTATTTACTATTAATTAAAACAAATTGATCAGAAAAGCATATAATATAATTATAAAACTAACTGAACAGTAATAACAAAGATGGTATTCTGCACTACTGGTTTGTAAAATAATGTTACGACAGCGGAAGTCACGTGACTATGGTAACACGTAATGAGTTATAGAATGATCGGGGAACATCACGAATAATCCAGTATTTGTTAGGCGCCCTCTATTCTTGTATATAAGTCGCTCAGAAATCATTTAAAGACAAATAATCTTCACATTGAATTCCAGACAGGCACAGATAGAGACGGACAATTGAGTCAAGCGCGGTAAAGTGCGTGAATCGTTCGATGTGAATTATAGCGTGTGTTTAAATTAATATGACTGTGGAAATTAAGTGTATTGCAAAGTTGAATTGAGAAAGAATAAACTAATTTTATTTAAGAAAGGACTTCTACCGGAAATTATCAAACGAGCAGGGAAATTTTATTAAGGCGCTTCTCACTTGTTGTTGTTTCGGACCTCAGTTGAAGTGTATTTACACAAGTATCATTATATACATTCACACACACTGTTTCAGATTGAAATTATTCATTTATTACATCTTTGAGCTTATTAATCGATTATTCTCTCAAGATAGGATGAACGCAATCCGCCAAGGATGCTGCAATCGGTATCCTCACTCTTTGTCCACCATATTTTGGTAATTCAAATAATTCCACTCTTAACTGGTTGCGTGTATTCATCCCTGTTAGTATTATGAAAATATGGAGAACCAGCTGGTACACATAATCAAGCATGCATGGTAAACTTAACCATTTTTCACCAAAATATACTTGTTTGTTTCCAAAATGTGACATGATAGTCTAATGTTAGTGTTTGAAGTTGTACGGTATAATTTTATAGAAAATATTATTGTAATCTTTGTGAATGCTAATGAGGCTGCTGTAATGAGATGCATGCAATTACGTGTTACGACAGGGGAATTCACGTGACTCTGGTAACACGTAATGAGTATATAGAACGTTCGTGAATGCTCGAGTGTTTGCTAGATGTGCTGTTTTCTAATATTTAAGCTCGACAATCAATCGTAACTGGAATAGCAGACAGAGAGATTGAAGATATAGACGAACAATTGAGGTCAAGCGCGGTAGTAAGTAAAGTGCGTGAATTTTTCGTTGAGAATTATAGCGTGTGTTTAAGTTAAAGTGACTGTGGAAATTAAGTGTATTGCAAAGTTGAATTGAGAAAGAATAAACTAGTTTTATTTAAGAAAATACTTGTATCGCTGAAGTTTCATCTGAAGAAATTATACGGAAAATTAGCAAACGACCAGAGACGTAACATACGTATCTGTGCCGTTTTCGTATGTAATATATTGTTACGTATCTGCTCCTTTGTTAATTTCCGGTATAAATTCCTTCCGAGGAACTTCAGCGATATAAGTCCTTTCTTAATTTAAACTAGTTTGTTCTTTCTCGATAGAACTTTATAATACACAGAATTTCCACAGTCAATACGTTTGCAATCTCGATAACAAAACACACATATTACTGTCACTACCGCTCGCTTGACTCGATTATCTGTCTATCTGCAATTATTTCTCTGCTTTATTTGCCGGGTTTATATACTAAAAAAGAGGGCGCCTGGAACAGACTAGAGTTGCCAGGAAAAGTCACGATCCTTCTAGAAACTCCAGCGCGCATTCTCCCAGCGTCACGTGACTTCCGCTGTCGTAACAATATTTTGGATTTTTAAAGAAACTTTGTAGTATTAAAAAATTGAAATTGATGAGTTTCATATTATAAAAGTTTGTCTTTTAAGATACAATTTGTTTCTTAAAGTCAAAGAATTAATGATGTGAGGAAAACTGTGTGCATTCCACGTGACTTTGAATTGGCCATACTAACATAAAGTCACAATTCAAAGTGACATGGAATGCACCTTTTGGGCTAATACAAATTTACTATTTTGAGATAAATTTAAAATGTTAGTGAAATTCCAATCCACGAGACTCGTATTCTTATTTCCAACTTGTTTGGATTTTTAGACATTTTCTAACTTCCCTTTGTTAAATATGATAGACATCTTGAGGTACAACAATTTAGGATTAAGTTCCTATATTAATCCTGTTTTGTTGTACATAAAAACTTAGTACAAAGATGATGTAACATCATAACATTTTGAAAATACTATTACCATTCGTGGGTTTTCCCCCTTTGGTTTCTTAGGGCTACTCTACTGAAGCTACTGAATTTTTGTTGATGAAAATAAACATCACTTCTTTACGTTGATTATAATTAACTGACATAGTATTCTCAGGTATTTACTGAACGTTATTACCCTTGTACGTGACCAATTGGAGTCAGTCAGGTTGAGAAAATGATATAGGATTTTTACGGAAGACTGGGATATTTGGTACTAAAACTAAATTTCTGTTAAAGAAAATAGCATCGTCACAAAGAACTAATATATAAGACTTTAGTACACTGTTACTAATTAAACTAAGATATCATTAAAAATAATTGTACTTTGTTTTAATGTGATAAAACTATTAAAATTCTTGTCAGTGTGGGGGCTGGCATGGCCAGGTGGTTAGGGCGCTCGACTCGCAATCTGAAGGTCTGGGATTCGAATCCCCGTCCCACCAAACATGCTCGCCCTTTCAGTCGTGGGGGTGTTATAATGTGACGGTAAATCTCACTGTTCGTTGGTAAAAGAGTAGCACAAGAGTTGGCGGTGGGTTGTGATGACTAGCTGCCTTCCCTCTAGTCTTACACTTAGTGTAGGGGCTAACTACTACTCCTTGAGTGGCACCCGCCTCCGGAGTGCAGCACTCGGAATAGGTGCCATCAACATTCATTCTGATGCTCCTATCTTCCAGGAAGTTAGAAACCCAGCGAACAATTTCTATAGGGAGTCCCAATTTGGACAGTTTGTATCTTAGTCCGTTGTGCCATACTTTATAGAATGCTTTTTCAATATCTAGGAAGCATGCGACTGTTCATTTTTTTATATTAAAGCCGTGTATTATTTCTTCCGTTAATTTTATGAGATGATCTGTTGTTTATCTTGCTTTTCGGAAGCCATTTTGTATTTCCGGGAGTATTGATTTAGTTTCAAGATAATTTATGCGTCTACTATTTATGATTTTTTCAAGTAATTTTCCTAGATTGCTTGTTAGACATATGGGTCTGTAATTTTCAGGGTTATTCGCTGATTTTCCTTTCTTTTCGAACATAAGAACAGCGGCCTGTTTCTAAGCGATTGATATGTATCCTGTTTTTAGAGATAAGTTGTATAAAGATGTTCTAATGATCTCAGAGAGCCTTTCTTGTGTGATATGTTTTGAATTTTGTCTTGTCCTGGTGCTTTGTTTTCAAAAGTTTTATGTTTTCTTGTACTTCTGCTGTTGTGATGGGTCTAATAAGTTGTTTTGTTGTGTAGTCGTGTTCCGCTTCTGCTGTTGTACTATTGCGTTGAGTGTCCTTTGTGAAATGTGGTGTATACATATTACGATTACTTGTGATATAATTATTTACTATGTTCATAAAGTGGTTGTTCATGTTTGAATCGTCTGGTGTTTGAATGTTTTAATGAACGCTCACATGATTTGGTTTGGTTTGAATTTCACGAAAAACTACACAAGGGCTATCTGCGCTAGCTACCCCTAATTTAGCCGTGAAAGAATAGATGGAAGGCAGCTAGTCATGACCCACCACCAACTCGTAGGCTACTCTTTTATCAACGAATAGTGGGATTGAACGTCACATTATAACGTCCCATGGCTGAAAGGGCGAGCATGGTTGGTGGGACTGGAATTTGAACCCACGACCCTCAGAATGTGAGTCGAACACCATAACCTCCTGGCTATGCAAGATTTCGTTCACATGAGCATGAACTTAATGGCAGTATGTTTTTTTTTTACATCACCAAAATAGGGGATCCGGCCGAACCCTCTCGACCCCCTGCGTACCTGCGTGACCATCAAAATTGATATGATACTAGGACTTTTTAGCGTTTAAAAAATTAAATGTCCACAACATTAATCATGACTTTATTAAGTACTGAAGTTTGTTTGTTAAGCACAAAGCTATACCATGGGCTATATGTGCTGCTCACCACGGATATCAAAACCTGACATTTAGCTTATAAGCCCGAAGACTTCGCGCGGAGCCACCGGTGGCCTTAAGTAATAAAGTAGTGCCATGAAATTTTTTGGATACGGTGTTGGGTGAAACTACAACTTACAAATAGTTGAAATGCATAAAAAAGCTGTTTATTTTTTTATTGAACATGGGTTTTTGAGATTGGTGAAACTAGGGCACTTAGTGGTAGTTTAAATTCTTAAATATTATGTTCTCCTCTATTATTAACTTCCATGCCATGGCGTTGTTACAAAGTTAGGCCCAAAGACGTATAAACTTCTTTCGTTAAGCCCCTACGTTCTTAACGCCTCATTCTAGAATTTACTGTAACGTTCTATGCCATTTATTTTAGGCCTAGTCCTAATCTCGTTTCCAGAAAATCTTGACATGGAAAATGTTACGTCATAACAAACTACCACAAGACGCGTATCGGCCAACATATAGAAAAATAAACTGAATAGCAAAATATAAAACATATATAGTAAGAAATATTTTAATTATAATAATATAATTATGTTTGCGTAACAATAGATTTTCTATTGAAAATGACATAAAATCGTAAATTATACTTCATGTATTAATCTTATTTTAATGTAAGTACTTATTATTTTCCTTATTTCACTACATGAAAGCTTTGTCATTAGAATAATGAGTATTAAGTATATAAAGACTTCTTACACGGAAAATTTCCAAATATTTGAAGAAGTGTGTGATTCATTCTGATCTGATGGAAGAAATGTTCGTGCCAGAAATATCAGTAACGAGGTTATTTATTGCTTACAACAAAACTGTTTCATACCTTTCTTATTTTTAACTACACATAACTATACATGACATTAAATGTGTCGTTGTTAGTTTTCGTTTGTTTATTTGCACGATGATTAATTATTTTCCTAAAACCTTTGTTCTTTCATTTAAAACTTTTGATACTGAAGATAAGCAAACCGTAACCGTTTAGAGTGAGGAACTTTCAGTAACATCTAAATTTAGAACATCGCGGATATATAACGCGTTCGAAGACTAACTAGTCACAAATACATGTATTACAGAGGGAACACGGCAAATACTTTTTACACGCGTACATGGCTTCAGGAGGTAAGGAAAGTCCTCCTCTAACTCGAACTATTCGGACATCTTTTACAAAGGTAAGATTAATCCTATAATAAGATAATCATTTGTTGCAAACTAATATATTTGTTCACGTCTTTCCTTATAGTTTTGAAGCTTCTCGTATTATCCATCAAGGTATACGTCAAAAAACGAAATTATAAGATACATAAAATTTTGAATTTACATTGTTAATTAGTATTTAGGTTTTTACTGCCGTTTAATAGCACTCATGTCTAAAATATACTCTTCATAAACAATAAATGTTTAATGCACGAAATTGTAGTAGGGAATTCATATAGTTCAATTTTCTTCATGGGTTGTTATCTAGTAAATTTTAATAACTAGCTGGCTGTTTTTGGTTTGGCATGACGACTAAAGTGACTTGAAGGAAAAAATAACTTAAAAAATAATATCGCACTATTCATATATAATTTTCAAAAAGTATTATGAACTTATAAAAATGTCTGTGTTTTTTTATTCATGTTTAAATAAAATAACTTTGAAGAAACCGCTATTAAACTCTTGATGTTAACTATGGTAAACATTATTTCTAAGTTATTATGTATAAAAAACTTGTTTATTATACGAAAAGACATAACTGTGAAAATTGAAATGATATTCGATATGAACTGAAATATAAGTCGCCTCAACTTGTTTAGAATAATGTGATTTTCAGAATCCAAAAATAAAGTGTACATAGAAACCATGAAATTATTACTCCAAATTCGAATTTCACATTTTGATTTTAACTTATATGTCTGGTTGAGCCAAAATTCAAAACAGAGTTACTAAATTGGCGGTTACATTAGTTTTAATGTGAATAGCCACCAACAGACGCTCCTTAAATGCAATAATACTTATTCCCCAGATGCCAGGTTGGATTGTATCAATTAATATATTCTACTATATAAAGCAAAGTGTGTGTCCGGGAAAAAAGTACACGGTCGTATATCTTATCATTTCATATCTGTTCCTTATACGTTTCCACATTTCTTGATTAATCAGCACCAAACTTGACACAGTGATACAGGGCGAAATGAGGAAGGTCATGGGGGTGGGGGGTTGACCCCCATCTAATTTCATATTGATGGAATTTTTGAAAACAGTATGTCTTTTTTTTTGGTATTGGTAGCTTTATGTATTTTTATTGCACCTTAAATGTTTATTATGTAAAGAAAAATCATAGAAGCACAATTTCCTATCCTTTGTTATTAACAAGCTTTTATTTCACCCGTCCAACAGACGGGTACTCCAGGTAGTATGAAATAAAATAATTGATAATTCATTACAGTGGTCAAATTTTGTACACTGATATAATTGAATAATTTTTAGTCATTGCTTCATGTACGATTGATTGAGATTGGAATTTCTGTGGTATTAAATTTTACAAAAATCACGTATTTCTAATAAATTTACGAACAAAATAAACTGTGTACAGTGTTAATGTTTTCCTTATTCCGCCCAGTTGTTTATCACAGATGTTATTTTATGTTACATGAAAGGGGATCTATGGTTTCTTAAAAGTATATTATTTGTCATCTCTTTGTCATACTGATCTTGCTAGAAGCTGCGATATGACGCATTTGCTTTATTAAGATACTGAACGAGAAAAACAATCTTGGAAAAACATCAAATTAAAAATTTCATGTATTATTCATAGTTAAGTACTCTAGTGAAGTCAACTTATATTTTTACGATTTGTTATTAAGTTTGACTACAAAGTGAAACATTTAATTAACTGAAATATTTCGCAAAGCCCATGTTGGATTGTGTTTACAAGAGTTTGCAATCAAATATTTTCAAATATTTAACGCTAATAATGAGAAATAATTATATAAACGTTAAAATAAATGGGTTATTTTTTATTTATTTTAATAATTGAGCTCATACTTGTAATTGTTTTCAGATAATTTTGAAATACTGGTACTATTTTTTTTAATAGAAATGCCATTAAAGATATATAATTTCATAAGAAAGATGATGGTCAGGTGGTTAGGGAACTCGACTCGCAATCTGCGGGTCGCGGGTTCGAATCCCCATCACACCAAATATACTCGCCTTTTCAGCCGTGGGGGC